CCCCCGTGCAAATCTGACGGTGGAAGCGTGACGAATCAATTACCACCCATTTTGTGAACATCGAAAGCAACGTTTAATCAATTCGAGCGTACAATCGTTCCGCGCGTGTATTAGAGACCGTGTAATTTCAGTGGTGGGCCGTGAACCAATTAAAGTAATGAACGAGTGAATTTGCCTATGGGGATATCGAAATATTTCACCCTTGTTTCCCCCTCTTTCCCCTCCAATATCGTTCCACTGCAAACAAATTATCGGTTGCGTCCATCAAAGGAGGAGAGTTGGAGACTCTGCTGTTAAAAATTAGATACCGATAAGATACCGAACAGGACGAGTTCTTCGCGAGCACGGGTCGGTGCACGTATGGCCGGTGTAATTATATTCTAATGTCCCGTGACAAACGGTCGAAAGAGATAGCGAGCCGTTGCAATTATCCTTGAAAAACGAATATATACCGGTGGCCGGCGCGGGAAATATCCGCGAGCGGGGACGAAAACGCTCGTGCGCGCTCCGGACGCTCCTTCATAAAACCCGCGCGCAACGCAATTACCGGCCCATGAAGCCCGGTTTAAAGTTCGTTTTCCGTTTTGCAATTCCGGGCCGGAACGAATGGGTCGGCCGTTGTACCGCGGCGTCTGCCTTTAATAAATCGCCTCCTCGTTCGACGACCAGCGTTTTCGCTTCTACCTGACCCCCCCCCCTCCCCTCTCTGTGTTCCTGACATTTGTTATTTTAATTATTTCGCCAGGTTTTATCGCGGCAGTTTTTTTTTTTCCACGCCAGATAGTGTGTACACACGCTGCGTACACACGCGCTGCCCTTCCAGTTTTAAATTGGTCAACGACTGTGAACGAATGAAATTATGTTAGCTCGCGAAATTGCGTTGGAGAATTGCCATCCGAAACGAATCATCGGTTATCAAAGAGTCAAAGAGAAGTTTTTTTTCTTTCTCGAGGAAACCAAGGGTTGTGGCCGAGGCTTGTATCCGAGGCGTTTTTCGTTTGCAGTTAATTGCCACTTGAAATCTTATTGCTTCGATCGGCCATCTCCAGGGATAATTAAAGGATTCTTATTGCTCTACGCGGGGATAAGAGGAATAAAATTCTTATTGATCGGGTAGCGGGATTATAATGGAGTCCGGTATCGATTTGATCGGAAGGTAAATTTCATAAGAAGCGGATGAAGTGGTGGTGCGCCGGTGGTGAACGGATATCGGAATGCCAGTCATTCCATTCGTTAAAATGGCGGCTCGATGACACGGGACTGGAAATGCGTGTTCATCCGCCGGATGAAATCGCGGCAAATGAGATTCCACGGGGCGGGCAACGTTTGCAAGACTTTTAATTACTTCGGTGAGCCGGGCTTTGTCCGTTTCGCCTGCTGATTATGCATGTAGTCGCCCCCGCTAAGCTGTCCACGCTTCTCTGGATATAGGTTGCTCGGTCGAAAACGCTCGTGGATCGAACACGGAATCGCACGCTTCGGGATACGAATCGTATTTGCCTCCCTTTATTTTCTCGTTTTTGAACAAACTTGAAACACTTTTCACAACAGTTTCTCCAGTTTTAAAAGGAGGGGGGAGGGGAGGGGGAATTAGGTGACACTCTCTCTCTCTCTCTCTCTCCTTTAATCCAAAAAATATAATTAATTTGTAATAAATTAGGGGGGTTTTTAAATTTCTTTGTGGCTTCGATTCGAATATATGCTCGTCGAAATTACATTCGATTATTCGAAGATTAAATCGAGTAAAAGATTCCACGTGATTGCGTTATCGATACCGTCAGTTTCCCCGCTACGAAACGAACGTAACGTCGAAATTCCAGTTTCCTTCGAAGCAAACCCGGATTTTGGACCCGTTTCGGATACCAAGATTTCAAGACGATCCCATTCTATCCCATCCGATCGAAATTATTTCACCTCGTTTAATCACGGTTGACTCACGGTCGACCGATAAATCGTCCCTAATTTGATTTAAGCACTAGAATTATCCGTTCCTCGGTCGAAATCTATGGGTTATCTCGTCGATCGAACGACAACACGAATGACATTTCGAGCATTTTATTTTTATCGTTTTACCTTTCTCGTTTCTTCTTTTAAGATTTTAATAATTACGATCGTAATCGTCAATTTCATTCTTTTTTCCAGTTTGTTCAGTTTCGAGAAGTTGGAAAATTGTCCATCGAGTTGTTTCGAATAAATAAATAAATTTTCGAGAAATTTTCGATTTATAGTTAGTTTATTATTATCGAAAATCAATAGGAAATAAATGGCAATTTATTATGGCGAGCGAAATTTCTCGTTTCAAGCCACGAACGATCTCATGCGGTTAGTCAACCCTGATTGCTTTTATAGGCTTTCGATTTTACTGTTTAATGTGTTGTTAAATCTAGAAACGAAACTCTCGATAAATCGGCCGGTTTAATTTTAATCGATTGCACCATGATTGCATCCGTCTTTGCGTGTTTTTTCTTCATAATGAAATTAATTTTTAATGCATGCATTTAATCGCATTATATTCAACGGATACGTTCGTTTAATCCTAAAACGTTCGATTTTCAATTCCGCGAATTGATTTTAAAAGGAAACAGAGTTAATTAATATGCGAATAACTTTTAAAAATCTGATCCGAGTAGACGGTGGATTTAAAAACCCACCGAACCTGCAAGTTCCCAATTTTCTAAAATTGTGTACCGTGCAGCCGATATCTAAAATTGAACGGAAAGATCGCGATATCTTAAAAATTCCACGTCCGATTAAAATTAAAAAATCTTTTCTAAATTCCAAAAATATCCTCTCTTTTCTCTCTCCCTTTTTCATTTTTGCTGCGCGTCGTTTTAAAAATAATTCTTAAAAAAAAAAAAAAAAAGAGAAAAAGATGAAACAAAAATAAAAATAGAAAGAAAACGGCAAAAATTGATTCGCTCGATCCGTTACGCAACAATTTTGGAACAGGATTGAAACGACTTGGTAATCTCGGTAAATACCATCGATGGTAAATGGGGAGGGAGGCGGCAAGAGTGGGCAGCAACAACATTCCAAGCCCTGGTGTTTCCGCGTTTCCTAAATCTCGCGGCCGAGTTTGGTTCCGGCCAAGCTTTGCGAGGAGGATCGAAACGCGCATTTGCGTTTAGCACGCGAACGTAATAAATCCATTTGTGTCCGTATTGATTTCAGATAATGGGCAAGTGGTACGTGGTCGAGGTGTTGGAGCACAAAGTCGATCCATCCAAGCCCAACGGCTCGTACAAGGTCAATTCCTGCCCGATCGTCAAGCTGAGAGCGGTCGAGAACATGTACTTGTCCTCGTTGAGGCTGTTGTGGACCGAGGAGATCGGCGACCTCGAGTACACTTTCCGGATACCGGACGTATCCAGGAGGCCGGGCTTTTGGATTTCCACCTCTGTGCAAAATGGTAAATCTTCGTGTTTCGCGCGTTTTTTTCTTTTTTTTTTTTTTGAATCGGAGATACGTTCAACATTTCGAACGGAGAGAGAGAGAGAGAGAGAGAGAGAGAGAGAGAGAGAGAGAGAGAGAGAGAGAGAGAGAGAGAGAGAGAGAGAGAGAGAGAGAGAGAGAGAGAGAGAGAGAGAGAG